GCAGGAATCACCACAGTGAAATTTCCTTCTCTCTTCCCCCAAAGTTAGTTTCAAGGTTGTGAGCCAAAGAGTGCTGTATTTTTGGGGGTGGGGGCTCTCTGTGTAACACATCTCCAGAAATGTTTTGGGATTTGTATATCTTGTAGTTTTTGAATTGAATTCATTTTCTGTGTAATCTAATTTATTGGAGCTCTAAAAGTGAATCTCCTGGCAAGAGCTGGTCCATGGGGTCGCGAAGAGTCGGACTCGACTGTGCAACTGAACAACAACAACAAAAAAGTGAATCAGTATCTATTTGTTGGTCCGGTTCACCAGTCCCTGTGGCTGATGATGATTTTTTTTTCAACCAAGTAGCTTGATGCACAGAACACTTTGTGTATCCATTCTGTCTGTCAAATGCTGGAGGTGGGTTATTATAACAACAACACATGGTGGCCATTCTGTCTGCACAGGCCCTAATTACGTTATCCAAGGTGATAGTTCATCATCGTGGCTTCTGTGCAGTCCCACATGGGGGACTGTGCAGTCGCAGGCCAGCCATGGAAAAGATTTCCAAGCTTTCTAACAGACCAGGAGTGCCCCTCCTCCCTCTGCCGCTTTCCCGCTAAAATGCTCATATGACCAGGAGGAGGGGCGCTACGCCCTCAGTTCTCTTTTTGCCACTGCAGAGAGATCTCCACTGCTGTTCTCTGTGTTTTTTCCTCACCTCAGTTTTGAGGCTGTGGAGACTTTTTTCTCTTAGCAGTTTTTATTCTAGTGAACAATATAATATATCTAAAGAAGAAAAGTTTTCTGGATTTCCACTGTGTCATCATGACTAAAAATGGTGCTCTTAAACGGCCATTCTCTGTGCCTTGGCTGTCTAGGGGTCCAACACTGTGAGCTCCCGTCTCTAGTTCCAGCTCCTGCCAACCTAGCAGTTCGAAAACAAGAAATTGCAAGTAGATAAATAGGTACCACTTTGGTGGGAAGGTAACAGTGTTCTGTGCGCCTTGGTGTTTAGTCATGCCGGCCACATGACCACGGAAACATCTTCGGACAGCGCTGGCTCTTCGGCTTTGAAATGGAGATAAGCACCGCTACCCTAGAGTCGGATTCGACTGGCTTTTGAGCAAGGGAACCTTTAATGTGAGAATGGTGGTAGTACTGGGGTGGTGGACTTTGGCTGGTCTCGTAGACACACTTAGTATCCCTAGCGATGGTTTCAGGAACTGAATTCAAGCTTCTAGATTTTATTGTTTTCTTGCATCTTCTGTGGTTCAGGCGCTGAGGTCTGGGATGACACTTGAGAGCTCAAAGCTGGCATGTCAGAGATGGGAATGGTCATGGTGACTCTTGGAGAGTTTCTGTTTTGTTTGACAGATCTCAAGACCCATCCACTTATTTATATCCAATGTGGAAGTGTTGTCCTGCTTCCCATATATTTCCATAATGTATTTACTACAAGCTGTGAAGCACTGCAGGGGCGGAGGAATGACTCAGACATCCCTTCCCGCACATTGACTGCTTTCACACATGTTGGATAATGGACTTTCAATGCACTTTAGCAACTGTTTGCAACAGGATTTTCCTGTGTGAAACAGGAAAATCCAGTTGCAAACTATTGCTAAGGTGCATTGAAAATGCATTATCTAATGTGTGTGAAAGTGGCCAGTCTCACCTTTCTAGGATTCTAAAGGCTCTCTGGAGTCCCTCCCCCAACTTAACTGCTGTCAATAATTATTATCTCCTAGATCATACTCTGTTCTGATCAGACAGGGCGGGGGCAGTTGGTTAATTTATGTTTATTTTTCTGCATATCTGGGAAGGATCCTGAGTATGTAGAAATCCCTACCTCAACCATAGGTAACCTGCTCCACTGTTTTTGTGATAGCTATTCTGTATAATGTGGTTACTATTCTGTATAATGATGCCTGTATTTGCACCTGAGTATGTAGAAATCCCTACCTCAACCGTAGGTAACCTGCTCCACTGTTTTTGTGATTGCTATTCTGTATAATGTGATTACCATTCTGTATAATGATGCCTATATTTGCGATTGCCTTTTAGTCCCTCTCACAGAAACAGAAAATACTGAGAGTGGGAACATTGGGTGGTTTTTAAAACTTCAGAGGCTATGAAAAACAGCTCACTACTTTATTTCTGGATCCTGGCACTGAGCTGTCCGTCCCCTGTCCCCCCCGGAGAAGGAGGCTAAAACCCTAAAAGTTCAAATCGAATGTTGGGAACCCTGTCCCACAGAGGTACAAAACTCTTTTATGCCAATGTATCACGTTTAGGACAAGGCCAAGTTGTACTAGGACTACGGAGAATTTCAGGAGACATGAATAAGCAGCAATTTGTGTATCCAAACATCTTGCTCACTTAAACTAATAATATTTACAACCAATTGAGCCCTGTCAGTTCTGTTTTCCCTCAGATCATGAATCGCCTCCCTTCCTTTATACCTCATCATCAGCAGAACTCAAATGTGCAGATGTGAGCATTCCCATGCAGCTGTTCTCCCAGAGGGTGGACTAGCTCACCACCTCCCTGGCCACTTGAGGGCTCTGTTCATTTGAGGAAGCATGCACTCTAAATACAAAAATAAGAGCAGAACAGAAAGCAGATTTTCAGACAAAAATGGGATGTGCCATTTTTAAATGCGGTTCTCAGTCAGCAAGTATTTTGGGCTCTGTTTCTGTTCTAGAACAATCCCACCTCTTCAGTCATCCAGGCCTGACTTCTGTTTCTTTAACAGCCATACGTTTTGCAGACATCGGCAGGTGATTGTATTTACTTGCATGTTGTGAAAAACTTTAGATTTCTACAGATCGAGCTTCTTTTAAAGGCACAGGAGCAATTCAATCCATTTTTCCCTGTGAGTTGGCAACTCTACCATGACCTACATGTTCATACCCAACCCCCTGCTGCTCCCTCGTTCCTCCTGCTGCCTTCAGATTCCAGGCATGCAGTGGCCTTGGCTCTAGTCTGGCCATTTTGCTAGGCCAGAACCGGAGGACTTGCTGTTGCTTAGCAACAGACCTGGCCTGGAAAGAATCTAAAAGAGAGAGGGATGCAAAGATGTGCAGGAAATTTACTGTGCCCGAACTATGAATAGTCAAAATTCCAGTGCGTTATGGGCTACAAAGTCCTTTTCCAGTATGACTTTGCTCCCTTTTTCAGCTGCCCCTTAAACAGCACCCTGACAAGCTGGAATTGTGGCTCACAAAGCTTCAAGCAAAGCACAGATCCTTCCCTGGAAGGGAAGCCAACAGCAAGATTTCCAGGTTCTATAAATAGTTCTGTAATGTTTCTGTGTTTGTGATCTCTTCCCATCTGACTGTTACAGAAAAAATGTTTCAGATCTAGACCTTCTGTCAGTCACAAGGTTACAAAAGGTCTCCCAGGTTATTATTTTTTTTAATTACGGAATATTACAGTTACTAAAGGAAAAGAGAGGAGAAACAGGAAGCGATGTAAGTGGTGGCATTTGAGAAAACTGGTAAAACTGCTATTTCCCATATATGCTGACAAAAATGGGAAATGAAAATCCATTAAAAATCCATTAAAAATGAACTGGAGTTCAGATGGCTCTTTTGAGGGCAGAAGGGTAGAATATAAATTTTGTAAAATAAAATATTTCTTTCTTGAACAGACCCTTCCACGCTTGGCTATACATGGGGGGGGGGGGGGGGGGGGGGGGGAGGTATACCGGTTGAAGACTGCAGTTCCAACAGGCCTAAATAGTAAAGCTATTCCTATCTGTGTTCTGGCAGCTCAGATTTCTAGACACCACCTCCATATCTCCAGGAATTTCCCAAGCCAGTTAGCAACCCTAATGCAGAAAATTTGTAATGGGAGAGCATTCAGCCAAGCAATGCCCACCCCTGCCATACAACTGCATAATGAAGACAGACAATCGAGGCAATGGTTCACCACTAATTCTACTGAATGTATAAACCAGGACTCAAGTGTAATTATTACTATATCTAAGGGCTACATTATGCCAATCATAAAAGCAACAAAACTAGTCCACATGAAGGTCAGGTTTTCTGCTGACTCGGGACTGCTCAGATATGCAGGGGGGGAAATATGACTTTGCAAATTAACTATAAAGTACAGCCATCCCATAGCCTGGAACTGCACAAGCTCCAGGAGTCCTGAAATAATGAGAGCAGTTGATAGTTAAAGGGGAAAAGAAAGTGATGAGGAAGTCGGTCTTTTAAGGGCATACAGTATCCTGGAGGGAGAGATCTGTGTTGGGAATAATTATTTTCCAATTACAGTTCAGCCTCCAACCTAACAATGAAGCTCAAACACTATGACAC